AGAGATTCCAAATATGTCAATTTGATTTTCTAGAATATAGTCAATAAGGCTTAGTTGTTTGTAATCTTCTAGTAATCTATTTGTGTTAAGTGAGTGAATTCTAAGTGAGTAAGCTTGTATTTCTTGATCTGGCTGAAGAGAATTTAAAGTTGAAGAATTGTTAGGAGAAAAGTATAATTAGATTGAAGAAAGATGTTAGTATCAATCTGTGGAGTTTTAATTTTTGTGCAGATAGGTAGGTTGTTAAATTTGTGATAGTGTAATGGTATAAGTAAGTCATGGTTAGGTAAGAGTAGTTTATTTGTGTTAGTATAAATATGAGTTTCAGTTTTGTGTTTGTTAATTGAGATTTTGAGTAGGCGTGAGAATAATAGGTTTTGAAGATGTTTTAGGAAGAACCCTAGAGTTATATTTTTATTTATTTGAGGCAGATTGTGGTTTAGAAGGAAGATATTAAAGCAGGTAATTTCTTCAGTGTGAGATGAAGTATTGGTAACTGAAGGAAGATAATCAACTTCTGTAGAATTGCTCGCTGTATACCCAGTTTTCATAGTTGTACAAGAGTCCAAAGCCTGTTCTGTACATTGGGTCTGGCCATCATAATATTGGTCTTTCATGTAAGTAACTACTTAATTACTAAATAATATATATTATCTAGTAATTAAGTTATTACTTGTACTATTTACAAGTCACTCTTGTTATAGTGAAATAATCAGGCTGAGAGATTTTCTTCACTATAATGTATCTACTAGTAAATTCACTATATTAAGAGGGTTTTTATATAAATGTCTTCACTATAATAAGGTAGTTTACTATAATAAGAGTTTACTATAATGAGAGTGCCTTATATTAGAATATATTATTTAGTTTTTTTAACTAGTAAATAATTGTTATTATTAGGTTTAACAGTAGAAATTAACTGAAAAAGAAGCTCAAAAGAAATATCACTAAATGAAAGAGTTTAGAAAATCTTCGTAGATACTTAGTTTAGAGAATCTGAACAATTTCCTTAAGAAAAACAAAAATAATTTGAACCCACTGCAAATCAATAACTTTTAAAACTTATTAAGTAGTCTTGATGAATTTTTAGAGAAAAAATTGATCGTATCTCTTAGCAAAAGTTATCATATAAAATATTTTCTTTTGCAGTCTTGGAAAATACTAATAATATTTGTACAACTTTAAGCTTTCATAGAAAGCTAATATTTACAAATATTATAATAAGTAGTTATAATAGAGAAAGTATAATAAATTAGTATAGTTTAGTAAGTATCTTATATTTTTCATGTTTATCGAAAATAATAATAATGATAAATTTTAGTTAATAACTAATAATTCAGATTTATCACATGAATTTTGTGATATTTTAGAATTTTATCTAATTAAATTTTAAAAAATTCTAAAATATTACAAAATTCAGCTGATAAACTCGAATTATTAAAATTAGTTACAACCTTTATTATTTTGATTATAAGTAAAAAAACTCTTGAAGTTAGAATATACTTTTATTTTTACTAACTTCAAGAGTAATATATGACTAATATATAGAGGTAAGTTAATAAAAACACACTAAATTTTTTCTAAGTAAATTTTTTTAAAATTTTAAACTCAAATAACTTAGCAAAAACTTAACCATATTTAATAATTTTTTTTTAAATTAATTCAAAAATCTTATAGAATTTATTTAAAAAAAATTTTATTAAATTTGAATAATTTTTTGTCAAGTTATATTGTTTTAAGTTGCATAAATATTTCACTAAAAAAGATTTGGTGCATTTTTATTGACTCACCTCTATATATTGTCTTTTAAGGTATTAATAATACTCAAATTTTATAAAGAGATAAATAAAGAACTACTTGAACTCGCCTTAGTTTGCTAATATAAAAAAGATAGTAAATTATAAAGATATCCAAAATTAAAACTGCTCAAACACTATAGTTGCATACTATTAGAGAGTATAGATAGAACTATTCATATAATTTCAAGATTTAATAAACTGAACAAAAATATCTAGTGAACTATTTTATATTTTAATTAAAGTATATATCATAATTCATATTAGTTTTACTTCAAAATTTGCTAATAATAATGAGTATCTTTATATTTAATTATAGATTAAAAGTAAGTTAAAAAGGCTACTTTCCTGAAAACTTGCTTCTAAATTAACTTTTACTCATTATACAACTGATTACTTATTGACAAAAATGATCATTTACTATTTGAAAACATCTGAATATCTTAAAAAATAGGGACAGTACCTTCTTTTACAGCTTAGTATAGTTGTTTTACTTATATTTTTTCTTATTTACTTTATATATGAACTCCTTTATTGAGTACTTCATTAGCATAACTTATTGTTAATAGTTCTTGTAAATGTTTATTTAAAAAAGTTTCTAAAAATAGATATATTATATAATATATAATTATACATAATATATATTAATATTTAACAATTATGCTAAAATAGGTTAGATTAAATTTGATAAACATAGTAATATAGAAATTTATCAATATAGATATATATTGATACATAACTTTATATTAATATATATCATTTAATAATTAACTGATATTTATCAATTAATAGAAATATATCAAGATAAATCAAAATAATAGTACTAATTGATAATAGATCTTTATCAATTTATATCTATTTTATTAATATATATTATTAATTATTAAATGATATATATTGATATAAAGTTATGTATTAATATATATCTCTATATAAATTTTGCTGATGTAGATAAATATAATTGATATGATTAGTAAGTTCTGTTATATAAAATTTAGAAGATTATTCAGAAATATCATACAAATTAGTAAAAATTAGCTCATATATAAAGTAATTTTAGCTTTTATTTATAATAAAAGTTTACTATATATATATTCATATTCTATATCTATAACTCTAATAACTATGATAACTATCATTACCTTAGTGACTATTATTATTCTTATAATCTTTTTGATAATTATAATTTTAGTATTATTACAATTAAAATATAATGAGTCAGTAGCTTGAATAGTGATATTAGTGTAATATGATTTATAGAGTTACAACTTCTAGAAATGAACAGAGTTTATTGTAAATTTGATACAAAGATCTAAGTAATTATTTAAATTTATTAATAGTAAAATTAAAACTCTAAACTTCTTATATAATAGTCTAACAACTTAACTACTATACTAAGATTACTAGACCTGTAGTTTTTTTTTAATTAACTTAAACTAGTTTATAAATAAAAAATTGAGGTAATATATTACACTAACTAGTATCTATATAGAAATTATAACAATAGTTTAAATCTAATATTATCTTGATATTTATTATGTAAACTATTTTTTTTTATATTTAATATATTAAATAAAAAAAATAAAAAAAATTTATTAATATATATATATATAAATTAATTTCTAAATCTATATTTTATATTTACCATATGTTACTGAATAGAAGCTACTAAAAAATTTTTAATTTTTTGAGCTAAATCATAGGGTAGCTTTTATTCAGGTTCAAAATCAAAATCTACTAAAATCACATGTTAGATTAGCACTAATCAAATAACAAAAAATATAAAGCATATATAAGACATTTCATAATGTAGATCTTCCTATATTTCAAGTTATATTTTTGCATAAAATGAATAATGATATAGATACTTATTTACATACCTTTTTAAAATCATCTTTGGTGCAGAATTATATTATACTAGTATTATTAAGTGAACCAATCAAATATTTATATAACACAAAACTGATAAGAATGTATCTTTTAAAAAACAACCTCAGTCTTTTTAAAATTATTTTTCTAAAGCCGTTATTCAAGTCAGTTTCTTAAGAAAATATTATTGTACTGATATTATAGGACAAGCATTATTTATTTTATTAAAATTACAGATGTTAGTTATAAAGATTACTTGGGCATATACAACAGACAATATTCAAACAAATTATCATTAGGAGGGAGGAAGAAAAAAAAAAAAAAAAAGTAAAAAAATTAGAATAAAAGTCTTTGTAGAATAGTTCTAAGTCAGAAGATGTTTATAAAATGATATATTATCAATATAAAATCGAATAATATTGGAAACTGTTATAAAAATAGAAGTTATATGTATGATGATTAAAAATCATACTGATACTTGCCTTATCTAATCTAATATAAATAAAGTAGTTATAATTAAGAAAAAAAATTAGGTAATTTTTTTTAAAATATCTTAGAAAAATATCAAGAAGGTTTATCAGTCTTATATCCTTAAAGAGAAAGCTAATATTGTTTAGTATACTCTTCATGAAGGCAATCTTAGGGCTGCTACCAAGTTTAATTTAGATAAGACTCAAGTTGGTTGTTAGGTAACAAAGTTAAAGGGTAAACTTGATAAGATTGATCATAGCAAATCCCAATCGTCTTGAAGGTAGTAGTAGAAAAAGTTTTTTTCCTGATGAAGAAGTGCAGCTTTATAGGTAGATATCTGAAATGCGTAGTGTAGTACTTGCTGTAACATACAATAGTCTCAAGTTTGAAATATTAAGAATCATCTCTAAAATAGCATCAAAAAGTAATGATCTCAAAAAAAAACAATTTGCAAGTAATTTCAAGGCCTCCTCAATGTGGTTAAACATTTTTTAAAATGCTATAATCTTGCCTTATGCTATAAAACAAAAATAGCACAAAAATTGCCTATTGATCTTGAGTAGCAATTGCTTAATTTTCAATGATATGTAATTCAGTTACGCCTTAAGAGAAACTACCTCTTGAGCAATATCGCAAACATAAACGAAACTCTTATCTAATTTGATATAGCTAGTGATCTGACTGTTGAACAAATTAGTACTAAAACAGTCTATATACATACAACTGGTAATGAGAAGAATCACTTTACTGTAGTTCTGATATGCTTTGCTAATAGACAAAAGCTTCTGTCTACAGTTATATTCAAGGGTCAAAGATAGGCTAAGACTAAGGCTTCTCTTTCTTCTGATGTAATTATTTTTTTTCATAAAAAAGGTTAGATAGATAAACCTAGTATGTTGTCATAAGCCAATAACTATATAGAAAATTGTTTAGATAGTCAGGAAAATGAACTTTCTCTTCTTGTCTTTGATTTATTCAGAGCACATATTACTGATGTAGTTAAAAAGAAGCTTCAAGAGAATAACAATGATCTTGTTGTAATTTCTGGTAGGTTAACTTTTGTATGCTAACTGCTTGATATTTCAATTAACTGCCTCTTCAAAGTAGCACTTCATAACCATTAGTATAAATAGATGACAAATGGTAGGTCTGGCAAAACTAAAAAAGAAAACCTTAAATGCGCTAAACTACATATAGTTTGTAAGTAGGTGCTTGCTACGTAAGCAAAAATTGATCCTGAGATTATTCGTTGTACCTTTTGCAAGTGCTCTATTTCTAATGCTATAGATAGATCAGAGGATAGTGAGATATATCATGACAAAATCCTTGATAATAAAACTAATGAAGCTAATAAAAATAATCCTGATATAGATTCTGGTGATTCTAATGAAAATGAGGAGGATTTTGAGGATAAAGAAAATGATAATGCAATGATTAAAGAAAATGAGGATGTTCTTCTTTTTACAATAGATTAAGAATGTATGATTCAAAGCTTATACAGCTATCTAATAAAATTTAACAATCATGCTTTATTGCAAAATATCATAAGTTTGTAGATATATAATATAAAGTAAGTATAAAAATAAATTATGATCTAGTAATTAGAGTAATGATTTTTATGCCACTCAATTCTTTATAAAAAGAATTGAGTAGTATAAAAATCACTATCATGATTACTATATGATGTAATATTTGTACTATAAAAATATTTTATTTGACATCACTTCCAAAAAAATGTGCATGAATTAATAACTTATGCAGTTTTATTATTTTTTATAATAGGTTAGTCATAGCAAAAAAATGTCAGGATCATAAGATCAAACAATCACTTTCAACACAGAGTATGCAAATAATTTTACAAATTTTAAAACCATATAATTAAGGTCTAGTGATCTAGTGTAGTAAATAGGTTGTCAGACTACTATGCAAGAGGTCTAGGATTCAAATCCCACTGTCAATAGAATTAAATAATTATCTAGACATCTGTACCTAACTTACAGTAAACTCTGTTTGTTTCTGAAGTTGTAATCCTATAAATTATATTGCACTAATGTTGTTCAGACATTGGAAGTATGACAGAATGTTGAAGTTGCATTACATAAATAAATCAAGATAGGATTTATGAACAGAGGACCTGCATAGTAGAAATCCTAAG